ACCAGGACTCTTCCTAGAGCTGGCCTCCTGGCCAAACAGAGTAACTGATGGAGAAGGACTGGTTAGTGTGGTGACCAAGAAGCTGATGGTCATTCTAGTTGAGCTCCATGATCATATATGCAGATGGGAGAAATCTAGAGAAGGACAAACATCACTGCAACACTTAACCAATCTGTGCTTTATGGTGGTTTGGCCAAACTCAATCGACTCCTCAGTGTAGACACATGAAAACACACTTGGAATTTGCAAAAAAAAGCACCTAAAGGACCCTCAGACTCTGAGAAACAAGAGTCTCTGGTCTGATGAACCTCAATTCCAAGCATCATGTTTGAAGGAAACCAGCTCTGCTCATCACCTGCAGAGTACCATCCCAAAAGTAAAGTGTGCTGGTAGCAGCCTCATGCTGTGGGGCTGTTTTTCAGCGGCAGGGACTCAGAGTAGAAGAAACGTTCAGTGCAGCAAAATATTGAGATAGCCTTAATGAAAACCCAGTCCAGAGCATTCAGAACCTCAGACTGGGCAGAAGGTTCACCTTCCAACAGGACAGTGAACCCAAGCACAGCAAGAGTGGCTTATAGACAACTCTGTGAATGTCCTTGAGCGGCCCAGCATGAGCTTGAACCCAATCAAATATTTCTGGAGAAACCTGAAAATGTGCATCTGCCCCCATCCAAGCTGACAGAGCTTAAGAGGTGAAGACGTGACAGTTCTGTTTTTGCTTTGTCAGTATGGTGTATGGAGTGTAGATTGAAGTGGAAAAAAAGTAATTTAAAGCAATTTAACATAAGGCAGCAACATAACAAAACATAACAAAATGAAGGGGTATGAACACACACACACAGACACACATATATTCATGGCCAAAAGTTTTGGCAGTGACATAAATTTTGTGTTTTACAAAGTTTGCTGCTTAAGCTGTTGTGGTGTTCATTCACATTGTTTCTAGATTATTGTGTAGAGTGATCAGATGCATTTTAAATAATTGCTAAAATCTTCATCAGTCAAAAAAATGAACTTTTCACAAAAAACAAATTTCACTGTTTTTTGATCTTGACACAAAATAACCAGCTAACATTAATTGACTAATCATATCAGCAGCACATGTGAAAGTGTGAATGAGTACTAGTCAGGTGAAATCACTATCATACTAATTAGACTGTAAGAGCAGACTGATTGCTATAAAAGGAGGGAAGAAGTGCTTCCAATCATTGTGTTCTTGTTAGCAATGGTTACCTCCAAAGAAGCATGCGCACCCATCATCGCGGTGCATCAAAATGGCCTCACATGCAAAGAAATTGCTACAAAGAATATTGCACCTAAAAGAACCATATCATCAAGAACTTCAAGGAGAGAGGAACTACTTCCAGCGATCCATAAGCAATTTGGTGATCCGTGCATTTTCTATCATGATTGAGCACCATGTCACAAAGCAAGAGTGATAAAGAAGTGGCTCGAAGATCATTACATTGAAATTTTGGATCTGTGGCCAGGCAACTCCCCGGATCGTAATCCCATAGAGAACCTGTGGTAAGTCCTCAAAAGGCGAGTGGACAAGCAGGAGCCCACAGATTGTGATCAACTCTGAGAACTAATAAGGCAAGAATGGATAGCCATCAGTCAGGATTTGGCCCAGAAGATAATATAAAGCATGCCAGAGCCAATTGCAGAGGTTATTAACAACAAGGGTCAATACTGTTAATATTGACTCGTTTTTTTTTTTTGCCAATAAAGGCCTTTAAACCTTATGATATGCTTATCATTGTTTTTCAGTAAACCATAGACACGTGGAAAAAATAATTTACATATACCGAAGCAGCAAACTTTGCAACACAATTTGTCACTGCCAAAACTGTGTGTGCACGGTGTTTTTTTTCCCTGACAATTTATTGCACAAGTCACTTGGCAAATTCTTTTTGTATTTAAAAAATAAATAAAAAGACATTTAAAAAATTGGTTAATTTGATTACACTTTAAGTGTATACAATAACAGTATATTATCCATTCTGCAGATTCTTGCTGAAAAACAGATTTGACCTGCTAATCTAAGTTGTTAAAAATATAAAATTCTGTCATCCTTTACTCACCCCATGTTATTGTATATTTTTCTTTGTTCTGTGGAACACAAAAGAAAACTCCCTTTTTTTTTTTTTTTTTTTTTTTTTTTTTTTCTTTCTTTCTCTCCATTGAAAGTCAGTGGGGTCCAAAGTTGTTTAGTCCCCACCACCTTTAAAATATCTCCTTCCTCCTTTTTGGAATGTGTTATTTTAGTATTGTTTATGTACTATTATAGTTTTTATTTATATTTTGAATTAGCTTTTCATATTCCCAGTTTTCTTTTCATTTGATTTCATCAAATTTTTAGTTCAGCATTAGTTTTTATGTAGTTCCAGTTAACAATCTTGTTGCTTCAACCTAAACGTCAAGTATTTCATCTAACATTTATATTTTATTTCAGTTCAACACGCCGTGGATAATTCTCTTCTCTGATATCACTGAACTCGGCCTGGGCGTCAGCGAGTGGCCTGTCTATACTGGGCCTGAGTTTGTAGTTAATCCCCCCCCCCCCGAACTTGGAGAAATGAAAGCAAACTGTCCGCTTTGTTTAAAGAGGTGGCATTCTGTTTGCACATCTGACTCGAAGCACAGATTAGAACAGCTGAACCTGTGGTTATGCGCGAGGACTCTTGTTTTTCTTTTGGATTGGCACATACGTCATCTTGAACTTGCTACTTGAGGGGCAGAACAAGGTGGCATGAGTTCACATTTAAATTCAGGCCCTTTCTCATAATCCATTTCTGTTTTTTTTTTGTTCGAGAATAGACAATCAGAATGTCATAATGCTGCATATTCACCCATTTCCTGTGTGGTTTTGAATGGATCGTTTCTGTTTCCAAGCCTGTGGTTTTATCACATACAAACACACAAGATCTCCAACATCACGTCGAAAACATGGCTAATCAGATAAACAGTTGATTTATTCAGTCACTTCTAACAAGAGGCAGTCACATCACATCCTCAGTGTAAATGATAGAAGAGCAGCTACTATTAGACCTCATTTTGACTTTCAAAACAGCAGGACTGAAAGGTTAGATTGACCTTTGAACGGACAAATAGATAAAACATGGACAAATAGCTTGGCAACTCATTCTTATGTAATACAACTTGTCAGTCAAACAATACAGCTTTCACTTTTTCTCTACTCACCACTTTCACTTATCACAGGTTGCACATCATATTGATTTTAAGGCAGATATTGTATTGCTGTAACTTTAAAATGAGGCTTAAAGACTGTAAACCAATCTAGGAATTAGAGATGAACATGTATGGAAAAGGAGGAAGGTTTGGCAATCTATCTGCATATGCTGTTATCTGAATATAATAAAGGCCTATCAGTTTTTATGAGTATTTTTGGCGTGTTAATGCAGTATAGCATGTACGATTAGATCATTCTTAGGGTCACTCTCTCAGCCTCAATAAGGATTGAAAATACATCCTTCCCAAATCTTAATACTTTTAAAAGTTATTGATAATAACTAGAATGTAATGGAGGAGACCTGGGGCAAGTTGTCACACATTTTACTCCAAAACACACACACATATACATATTGGCTTTATAATTACAAGCGATAAATGGTCTGGTTTGGAGCCTGTAGCGCGCGCTCACACGCACCTGACGCAGTTCCACGGTGACCTCATATCCTCTGCATCACTTCCTGTACATGCTGAGGCAGAACTGGGCAGTCAGGCACGTTTACACACACTCACACACACTCACTCACACTCATCTGCTGTCAGCAGTACACACGAGCTGAGCCCCGCGTCTCTTTGTCCGCGATCCTAGCGCTCTCATCATGAGCCAGAGGTGATCCTCGTTCCCGGTGGTTCTGGGTGAGTGCGACTTAAAACACACACACACACACACACGCACACACACGCGCGCGCGCGCCTCTCTTCATTGATGTGTCAGAGTATGAAGTCATGGCTGCCTGTATGTCTTCCTCGTGTGTCCTCGGTCAGTTTATGGGGTTTATTTCATTATTAAATGACTGAAATGAACTAGATCGTGTTTTATAACGCTGTGGGAATTAATATATGGATGTATATGGGTCTGTTTAGTCAATAACGGTGCTGTGACCTGAAGTGGAGTATGTGTTGTACTTTGAATTTTACTCCGTTTTGGGATTTGCATCAAGCGGTGTGATTTAAAGTGGTAGTTCGCCCATTTTTTTCTGTCATCATTTACTAAGCCTCATGTCCTTCTAAACCTGTAGGACAATTTTCTTCAAATGTACACAAACGAAGATTAGGCAGAATGTGATGGACAGCCTCAGTCACCATTCACTTTAATTGCATCGTTTTGCCATACAATGTAAGTGAATGGGGACTGAGACTGTCATTCTGGCGTCCTCTTTTGTATTTCACAAAAGAATGTCATACGTGTCATTCAAATAAAACAATTTAAATGATTACTTTAAGTAAATGCAATTCATATGTATTTGCAATATATTTAAAAGTTTAATTTGAGCTTCATGAAATGGCAATAGAAAATGTGTATAAGCTGTACTGGTTGAATTTTTTTTTACACCCCAGACTAACAAACTGCTGACAGAACTTGTGATTAAATGTTTAATTAATGGTTATCTTAAACATAACAAATGCCTGATGGGGTAGCCGACATGTCAAGATGTGACAGAGATGTCCACTAGTGTGACATACTAATCTTTAAATGCTTTTGATGACATTAATTTGAATTATTTCAGAAATCTTACCTTTTAAGTTTTTTTTAATTAATTAGAGTTTTCACAAATGAAATGTTCTTTTAAACTTTATATTCATCAAATTATATATATATACACACTGGTGTGAAAAAGTGTTGGCCCCCTTCCTGTTTTTTTAAATTTTTTGCATATTTGTCACACTTCAATGTTTCAGATCATCAAACAAATTTTAATATTACACAAAGATAATGCAAGTAAATACAAAATGCAGTTTTTAAATGATGATTTCTTTTATTAAGGGAAAAAAGCTGTCCAAACCTGCCTGGCCCTACGTGAAAAAGTAATTGCCCCCTAAATCTAATAACTGGTTGTGTCACGCCTTGCAGCAACAACTGCAATCAAGTGTTTGCGATAACTGGCAATGAGTCTTTCACATCGCTGTGGAGGAATTTTGGCCCACTCTTCTTTGCAGAATTGTTTTAATTCAGCCACATTAGAGGGTCTTCGAGTATGAATGGTCTGTTTAAGCATCTCAATCGGATTTAAGTCCAGACTTTGATTTGGCCACTCCAAAACCTTAATTTAGTTTTTCTTGAGCCATTCAGAGGTGGACTTGCTGGTGTGTTTGGGATCATTGTCCTGATACATAACCCAAGTGCGCTTGAGCTTGAGGACATTCTCCTTCAGGATTTTCTGATAGAGAGCAGAATTCATGGTTCCGTCA